GGACCTGGCACCCAGACCACTTAATTGAGCTGAAGTGATCTGAGTGCCTATAGTGGTCCTTTAAGTGTATGTGTACCTGCATGCACTGGCGTACATACCGCGGTCACAGTGGTCACAGCCCTGCAACCCCTGAGACCAGGTGCCCGCCGCCATGTGTTGCGGCCCTGGCCCACGCAGAGAAGGGGGGCCACGGATAAATTTCGCACCAGGGCCCCATGGATTGTGTGTTCGCCACTGTTGACTAGTATGCAGATTTTTGTTTAACATTGTATTGACTATCCACAGACTTCAGGTGGAAGGGGTTTTCAATCACAATTTTTCCTCACCATAACGTGTCTGGTTTTTGCTTTGCAAGTACTGCCGAGCCTCAATAAGCAAACCAGTAGCCAACCTCATGCTGATGATTTGCATTAACAATGAAACAGCTGTCCATGAGTGGCTCACTGGCTTTGCATCTTTTCCTAAGTTGTGTTTCAAAGCTGTTGTATACAGCCACACAGACTCAAAGGAATTCATGTTTAAATTGGAATGAGGCAAAAGTGTGATTCTTTGTTGAGCATATGTTGTTGCATATGCCCACCCAGAATCCTTTGCAGTAGTAACATTGCTGCAAATTTGTGATTTCTGTGGGAAAAGCAAGTCTTATGGCTTGACTGTTGTGCAGATTTTAATTTAACATTGTATTGATTATCCACAGACTTCAGGTGGAAGGGATTTTCAATCACATTTTTACCCCGCCATAACTTTTTTGTTTTTGCTTTGTAGATATTTACCTGATATGACTCAAATGACTTATACTCTCAAATGACTGATATAGGATTTGTATAGCCCATGGGTTAATTCTTACCACAGAGAACATGTTTGTAATACTGCATTGCTTAATTAAAATGGCCTTAATTGATTTGTGTGTTTGTATTTCAGGTGAGCAGCCATGTTGAATAATGGCATCAAGGTTTAGTCCTGGACTTACTGACAACCCTGGAATTTATCCAAGAAATACGATCAATGTTCTCTAAAATGGGGTCTCTAAGGATTCATAGTTTAGTATGATTCATTCAGTTAGCTATCTTAGTGTGTAAGCCTAAAAAGCACATGTTTATTAGTTGCTCATCTGTAGTTCATGCATATTGCTTATTTCTATAAACTTATAAAACCTTGAAAAATTATATATTAATATAGCTAAAAATATGTTTTTCAAATGGTGAGGATTATCAGAAAAATCTTTGGGTTGTGATGTTTGTGGAAAACACAGCTAAGACAATTCAACATAACTATGTGGGTAATCAAAATATAGAATAGAATGTTGAATTATTATTTATTTCCTGTTCAGTAAACCATATGACATTTATGTATACAGTGCCCAAACCGCAATACATGTCAACTTTTCTTTCCTCAAAGTGCCAGCATGGCAATTAAACCTGGATACCGAGGTTTAAGTATAGAAAAAACAACTCGTACAGTTGTCCGAACTAATTAACAACTTTTGTTTTAAAAGAAGAACACAACAACAGAGTTCAATGATACACATTTTAAATAATGATATAAACAGATAAAATTAAGCTTATATTTATTAGTATCTCCAACAAATGCAACACATACACACACAGATTGCTGAATACACACACACAGTCTGCTGAAAACACACACACAGACTGCTGAGCACACACACACACACAGACTGCTGAATACATACACACAAACTGCTGAATACATACACAGTCTGCTGAATACACACACACACACACACACACACAGTCTGCTGAATACACATACACAGACTGCTGAGTATACACACACAGACTGCTGAATACATACACACACACACTCCACTGAATACACAAACTGCTGAGCACACACAGACTGCAGAACACACACACACACACACACACACAGACTGCTGGACACACGCACAGTCTGCTGAATACACATACACAGACTGCTGAGTACACACACACACAGACTGCTGAATACATACACACACACACTTACACACTCCACGGAATACACACACTGCTGAGTACACACAGACTGCTGAATACATACACACACAGACTGCTGAATACATACAGACACACACACTCCACTGAATACACACACTGCTGAGTACACACAGACTGCTGAATACACACACACACACACACACACAGTCTGCTGAGTACACATACACAGACTGCTGAGTATACACACACAGACTGCTGAATACATACACACACACACACACACTCCACTGAATACACACACTGCTGAGTACACACAGACTGCTGAATACATACACACACAGAGACTGCTGAACACACACACAGACTGCTGAATACACACACACACACATACACACATAGACTGCTGAATACATACAGACACACAGACTGCTGAATACACACACATACTGCATTGAGGGGTGCAGTGTATGTATTTGTGTGTGGGGTGCTGTGTGTGTGGGGGGGTGCTGTGTGTCTGAGGGTTGCTGTGTGTCTGAGGGGTGGTGTTTGTGTGTGTGGGGGGTGCTGTGTGTGTGTGCAGAAATATAGTGCTGTGCTGTGTGTGGGGTAGAGGTGCTGTGGGGTAGGGGTGCTCTGTGTAGGGTGTGTGTGGGGGTAGGGGTGCTGTGTGTGTTGTAGGGGTAGGGGTGCTGTGTGTGTGTGTTGTGGGGGTAGAGGTGCTGTGTGTGGGGGGTAAGGGTGCTGTGTGTGTGTGGGTAGGGGTTCTGTGAGTGTGGGTAGGGGTACTGTGTGGGATACAGTGTGCTGTGTGTGGGGGGAAGGGATGCTGTGTGTGGGTAGGGGTGCCGGGTGGGGGATAGGGGTACTGTGTGGAGGGGTAGGGGTACTGTGTGTGGGGGGTAGGGGTGCTGTGTGGGGAGAGGGAGTGTAGGGGTGGTAAAAAAAAGAAATAAGTATACTAAATCTGTATCCCCCTTCCCTCCTTCTTACCTTTAATGAAGGGGGGGGGGGACACAGCCATCCCTGGTGGTCTGGTGGTGGCAAATACTGTAGGGAGCAGCTCCCACGCGATGCTGTCCTCCCGCGCGATGCTGTGTGGAGCGTTGCCATGGTAACGCATGGCAATGCTCCACACAGCTTGTTCGCAGGAGGACAGGGGAGTTGCTTCACAGATCCCTCCCCTGCCTCCCGACACGGAAGCAGAGTAGGCGCCTGACGTTTTGGGCAGGCAGATGCCTACTCTGCATTGATGGCGAACCTATGGCTGCGTGCCCACAGAGAGGGCCCGGCGTGCCACCTGTGGCACGCGTGCCATAGGTTCACCATCACATCACTTAGTGTATACTTTTGTTCATGCTGCAAGGTTGATGGTTGCTACTAAACTATGCATGTTGATTATTTATTACAGGGCACTGATTCAACAATGAACATCTGAGAACGACAAACTGTGAGGTTTAATTGACTCGACAATAATGCAAAGTCTATAAAATAAATTGTTGAATTAGTTTTAAAAAATGCTAGATAAATTAACTGAATTTTTTTTGCCGACAGCAGATAGTAACATGTTTACACATTTATCTGAAAAATCCAGGAAGATTAAATACATTTCCTTTTCAATATTTGCTCTATTGTTTATTGCTGTAAAACCTACTTAAAGGAATATTTCAAGGCACATAACCACTTTTAATGCCAGAAGTCTCGGTGCAAATGATTTGACAAATTACCAAGGGTCCATTAGGTGCCAACGCTGTCTCCAGTGAAGCTGGTAGGGCTGAGAACATCACAGACTATTCCATCAGCAGAGGAGGTGGTGATGAGTGCCCAGAGGACCTCACGTAAGTTGTCAAACCATTTGCAGATGGTTTCTCTGTTTTCCATAAGAGGGCTGTAGTGGTTATGGTGCTTGGAATTTATCTTTAATCATACTATTCCATTTACTCAAATATTCCATTACATTTTCTCCAAGGAAAAATCTACAATATAAATTGTTAATCTTTAATTAAACTACCATGTACAGGCAAAATTAGTCAAAAGACTCCCAATCCTGTTTAGTAAATTAGTCTACTTAGGCCTCAATTGATTTAATATTTGTGGGAAAACTTTTAAACTGATTTAATATTTTAATAATATGTTAATATTATGATATATTTTGATATATTAGTGTGTATTTTCTTATGTGTTATATTTATTGCTATTTTAGTATTTTATCAAAATAATTTAAAATCATTTTAAAGCTCTACCTAAAAATATTAAATGGAGGCCCCAATCACAATGAGTGTGCATGCAATATGTAAATCAGTAAGACACACTTGTACTAGTTTTATGTGATAAATATTAATTTTTGCTTTTTAAAATTATTTGTGCATAGTTGCTTTGCGTTTTGAAATTTCTAGAAAGGAAATATTTGTGATACAACATTTAGGGCAATGTTTTCTGTTACAATTTGTTAGTATTTTATGTTTTTTCTTTCTTTTTCCTTGTTTAGATATTGCAAGTTACTCCTTCGCCATTTAGATATTGTTGGAAGATATGGAAAAACCATTTGTGAAAACTGAAATAATTCTTCACTTCAATATTCCATGTTTTTTATTTTTTAGTATTGCATCATCAGCAATGTCAATCATCCATCAGCAACATTAAAGGAACACTCCAGTACCCAAATAAAAAAATAAAACAAAAATCACAATTTAATAGATATTCTCCTAATGAAAACATGCATTAAAATAGGCATTTTTCATTGGGGGTACATCTAAAAACCGCTTGCAAAAGTTGCAGTTCTGGTGTCTGCTTTCTTTGCGAGCCCTCCCTTCCTTACCCAGCCCAGACTTTATTTAACTGTCCAATCTGAGACTTCTAAAGCAGGTCAATGAGAAGTCTTTGGAAGACAGGGGCTTCACTGAACTAAGCTACCAGGAAGTGACATGACTTGTCTGATTGACAGCCAGGAGGGTGTAACAAGCTTAATTTATAAAGCAATGTCTACTGGAATCTTCACTTTTTGTAAAGCGGCTTTAGGTGTTTGGAGTGTCCCTTTAAAATAAAATACAGAAAACATTATACATTAAGTGAGACAGTTTAGTGAAAACAAGTAAATGAAAAATAATCAATGCTGTCTCAGAGTTTGGTACATGTTTTCAGTATTTGGATGCATGTTCTCCATCACACACTAAAAAGGTTTATATACAGCGTTAATAACATGCACAGACATCATCACTTCATGGATCTTCTTTATTTCCTGTTAATACTCTCATCTCTGGCTCATCTCAGATTGTAACAAAAATTCCAACTATGGCGCATATTTGAATTTATGGTAAGTAAAGTTAGAAGTTCATCATCTTCAGCTTTTCATACTGTTATACTATTTTTTGCCAATTTTCCTTTATTTTGTCTTCCAGATTTGAAAAATAAAAAATCAAAGAACGAGTCAGACAAAGGACATTTCAAGTATTGTAATGATGTTAACTGCTTACGTGATACTTTAAACCACAGCACTCATGGAAAATACATGTTTACAATGTGAAAAACAAAGTCAAAGCATAAAAAATGAAGAAAACCAATATCTCAAGAAATTTCATGATGTCTTCTTAAAATAGCAAATTAACCTACCTTAGATCAGCCTTCAAGCAAATAGTTAGGTTATGTTTGGATAGTTTTGGTTCACATATTAACCATATTCTAGTTGCATGTGAGTCATGTGAGAAGCATGTCACTCAGACACCATTCATTATGGATCAGTGCCCAGAGAAACCCATGTTCGTGGCAAACCATTGTAAAAATGATTTGCAGCCTGAGCAGGAAACAGCACCAGGTACTCCTGGCATCATGCCCTCCACAGCAGGCTTTAGTGGTTACGATGCTTGGATTAACCCATTAAATAAAATACAAATAAAAAAATAACAACATTTAATCATAACTTATTATTGTCTATAGATCAGAATAGTTTATTTTTTATTTTTCAATGTTTGCAAAATTGATCAGAAAATGTTATTATGAGTGAACCAGTGGCATGAAGAATTATCACTAATAGAGAAGTGACAGTACCACTTCAAAGTGTAACTGTCATGATAGGTACAATTTATACTCTTTTTAAAGAGCAGAACGTTCTATTTTTATATTGGCTGGCAAATGTGTAGATTAAAAAAAAAAAATATTTTTCCAAGCTCCCAGTCAATTCTTCAACATGGAATCATTGACTGACAAGAGAGAGCAGAAAAGACCCAGCACAGGCGGCCCTTCTGCTCTCCATGCATAGCAATCGCAGCGCATGCACTGTGGTTGCTATGGTAATGCCCTAACTGCTAATGCTGGCAATGGAGTATAGGAACAGAGTGACTGACATCACTCAATTCAGATGCTGGCAACAAAATCAGCCTGTCAGCTTCACTTATAAAGTTTGCCCTGCTTGTGGTAGCACGCCTAAGCAGGGCAAATCACAGAAAACTGCAGGTGGAGCGAAGGATGGACCAAAGGTGTTTCTTACAGAAGAATAACACCCACAAAGCTGGCTTGGAGTGCTGGATCAGAGATAAGGTGAGCATATTTCAACATTCTGTATTGAATACATCATGTATCTCTGTGATATATGATGTATTCAGTGTATTTGGGAATATAGGTAAACTTAAAAAACAGGTGACCTGTTCACTTTAAGCCTAAAAATTAAACAATTAATGTGGCTGTTTTAAAATTAAATTCCATCAAAGTCACAAGGAGTGCAAAAAGTAAAATGTAGTCATACAATGTGAACAAACACAATACAATGTGGATTCCCAATGCTACAGTGCCGTGTTATCCCCTGCCACATACACAATTCACACCACCTAAAAAGTGCCCCTCTGTGTCCATTTTAAATGTTGGGAGTTATGATACCTGCACAACAAACAAAATGAACTGGTGGCCAGTCCTCGGAGATCTACAGCAACTATATTGCATAATTTTATAATAAATTTAAATTATGAATGGGCATGATTTATTATTCTCCTAAAATGTACATTGTAATATATACATTTGCTGACAGATATACTTGTACAATGTATAAATTAAATGTACTACCAACAGCTTTTGTAAATAAATGTACAACTTTAATTTTAGTAGCTATGTAATGATTTCTAATATTGGATCACAAAATTAGTATTGTACATCTATATGTCTTTTTTTTTTTGTCAGAGAGGATGGGGCAGAGAAAGGAAAAAAGGGGGAGGGGGGCAAAAAAAGAGAACACAAGGCAGCGTAAAGCGAAATAATACATTGTATTAGACATATTATCAACTACAAAAATCCAGTTAGAACACCATAGTGGTGGTCATCCATTTCAGGTTTACACATTTTGGGAGGTCCTGTGCCCCTGGAACAATATATGTTTAACTGTCAGTATTATTGCATTGAATGTATTATTATATTGTATGAATTTCCTGGCAAAGATCAATAAACTGAGAGGAAAAAAATAATTGTGTTGTGAGTTTTTATCTGCACCACCGTGTGATTTCAAGCAAGATCAAGAAATGAGAGGCTTGTGTTCGATATTACACGAAGATTCAACTCACCTAAAAGGTAAAAAAGTTATCAGTAATTCTAAACATTAATTTACAAAATATGATTAAAATTTTTCGAATTAATGCTTGTTCGTTTTTTTATTTTATTTATTTTTATAGTGGTGCCACTCCAATGACCATAGACATGATTCAAAATAAACTCATGGAAAACAGTCTAAAAGGTCGTCATACCTCCTACTCGAATTGTGAGATGCAAATAAGGTTTGTACAGATATCTATGCAGCTGATGAAGGTGTGTTCAATACTGTGTGTAATCGAAATTAATAATTTATCTAAGATCTATAAACATGTGCTGTAACAGTAGATAAACACTATTCTTCAATTTTTTACTTACCTTCTTGTTTTTAATGATAGCCTTGTGCATGTCCAATTATTTGGTGGAATGCTTAAGAATGTGGGTTTTTGTTACCAAACATGATCAACAAATGTATGTCTAGTTTTTCCTTACACTATGGTGCCGTATAACTGACCTTTTTAATCTTACACATTTTAAAATTGACAAATAAATGAGTATCAATGGATTTTGTTGAGAGAAAAGTATATGTTCAAAACAAAATTTGATGACTTTCCTTTTTTTTTAAAATAACAAATAGAGGAATGCTGTTCCATAGGCATTTTGAATTCATCTCTGCTGTAATTTAGTTAACCCCTTAACGACTGAGGACGGTTCAGGACCGTCATCGGCATTTTTCCATTGCCGACCGGTGACGGTCCTGAACCGTCCTAACGGTCTTATGTACTTACCCGATCGCCGTCGTTCCCCCGGCAGCGATCGGCGGTGCTCCCGGTGTGGGGAGACTGCCTGCAGCCCAGACAGTCTCCCCACACTGGATTAGGACCCCTGTGGCCATGTAATCGCTTAACAGAGCAGTCACATGGTCACAATAGGTGTCCATGTGTCTGTCTGCAGGGGGACTGTCTGTGCTGACAGGCAGTCTTCCTGCTAGTGTAAAATCATTAAAAAAATTAAAGTTAATGTTAATAAAAAAAAAATTATATATGTATATATATATATGATATATAGACATATTATATATATAATATGTCTATATATCATATATATAATGCCATAATAAGTGTATTTTTATATTAATATGTACATATATTAATATAAAAATACACTTATAATTAAATTACACACATATATATAATATATATAATAACTATATATATTGTATATATATATTATTATAAAATACAAATAATAAGTAGATTAAATTAAATAAAAAAATTAAAAATAATAATAAAAATTTTAAAAAAATTATATCTATATGAAATTTTATTCTAACTGTATTTTGATATTAAAATATATATATTTATATCAAAATACACTTAGAATGAAATTGTATATATATCTATGTATATATAAATAAATAAAAATAATACGAAATATACATATGTCCATATACAAAGTTACATAAATTATTATATAAATATACATGTAGATTTCAAATATATAAATATGCATATATATTTAAATTCTACGTGCGCATTTATGTAATATTTTTACATAATTAAGTAATTTTATTAATTGCAATTTGAGGGACCTGCCTGCCAACCCAGGCCGAAAGTCCAGAGAATTTAATTTGCTAGCACTGTATTTACCCTGTAACTTTCTATGACACCCTAAAACCTGTACATGGAGGGTACCTTTTTACTCAGGAGACTTCGCTGAACATAAATATTAGTAATTCAAAACAGTAAAACATATCACAGTGATGATATTGTCAGTGAAAGTGACTTTTTTCGCATTTTTCACACACAAACAGCACTTTTACTGATGATATAATTGTTGTGATACGTTTTCCTGTTTTGAAACACTAATATTTGTGTTCAGCAAAGTCTCCCGAGTATAACAGTACCCCCCATGTACAGATTTTATAGCGTTTTTGAAAGTTACAGGGTCAAATATATGGGTCAAATATTTTTACATTGAAAATGGCCAGGTTGGTTAAGTTGCCTTTGAGAGCGTATGGTAGCCCAGGAATGAGAATTACCCCCATGATGGCATACCATTTGCAAAAGAAGACAACCCAAGGTATTGCAAATGGGGTATGTCCAGTCTTTTTTAGTAGCCACTTAGTCACAAACACTGGCCAAAATTAGCATTCAATTTAGTTTTTTACTTTTTTCACACACAAACAAATATGAATGCTAACTTTGGCCAGTGTTTGCGACTAGGTGGCTACTAAAAAAAACTGGACATACCCCATATTGAATACCCTGGGTTGTCTACTTTAAAAAAAATATGTACATGTGGGATATTATTCAGAGATTTATGACAGATAATAGTGTTACAATGTCACTATTGATAAATTTGAAAAAATTTATGTTTTGAAACCGCAATATCCTACTTGTACCTATAGCCCTATAACTTGCAAAATAAAAGCAAAAAAGCAGGTAAACACTGGGTATTTTAAAACTCAGGACAAAATTTTGAATCTATTTAGCAGTTTTTTTATTGTAGATGAGCAAAAGATTTTTCAAGTAAAAGTAAAAAAAACATGTTTTTAAAAAAATTTTCATCATATTTTTTTATTTTTTTAAAATTAAATTACATGAGATTATTTAAATAATGGTATGTAAAGAAAGCCTTTTTTGGTCCTGAAAAAAAAATATATAATTTGTATGGGAAAAGTAAATGAGAGAGCGGAAAATTACAGCTAAACACAAACACCACAAAAGTGTAAAAAGAGGCCTGGTCGCAAATGTACAACATCGCAAAAACAGTCCAGTCCTTAAGGGGTTAATTTTAACATTAAAAAAAAAAACTGTGTACGGTTGTAACATTCACTAATTTAGTTATCACTCTGGATTTTCCTAATCAACTTTTTTGTTTTTTTTG